GGCACTGGATTCAGTCCAGGGGAATTTCAATTCCATGCTGAAATCAGTATGGCAGATCATGGGTTTTCTTAGTTTGCTGCTCTGAAGTGACTGAAAACTAAGTGGAACATACAGAGATTTACTTCTACATAAGGTGTGCTGTGATTTGAACTTAACTGATTTCTCCTAGCAAGGGCCACAACCCTTGCCAGAGATAACCTGCAGATAAGCAGGATATTGCAATACACCAGAGCACTCAGGAATGAGCTGAACACACCTCAGTGTGCTGGGGTTTGCATCCCTCATTTATAAAGCAGTAGAAATGTGCAGAGAACATTTAGAAACAGAACAAATTTATATTTTCAAGTTACCATGCAGTAAGTAAAATCAATTGTGACTTATTTCCTTTTATGATGATACCTTTAACTCCAGTGCTGTAAAACATCAGTGTTTATACTACAGAAGTGCTTCATCTATCACACATGCTCTGCTATTCTTAGCTCAGCTAAAATGATAAACACTTCATATGAATGCCCAGGTTTCAATAAAGTGAATGGTGTCTCTTTCCTAAGAAAGAACAAACAAAATAAAATGATATAGTATCTAAATAGAATGTGTTTGCTCTCCAAGTAGAAACCTGATTTGTTAGGCATGATTTAAAAATCCACTGGAACACATAATGTATGGTTTTTATTAATCTCTATTTTCTAAGTATTGACTTTAGGCTTCTACTTAACCTGGAGCAAATTCTCTCCTTCCAATGGAGCACCTGAAGTACACAATGCCTCCATGGGTAACTTCTGATTTTTAGATAAATTGCTGAAAGATAACCCTAAACAAAGCATTACTGTTTCTCCTTTGTTGCAAGGTAGAACACATCACAGGCTTTAATACATCTATGGGGAAAGATGCCAAAAGTTTTAAAATATTTAAAATATTTGAACTTCTACTGGAAAATTTAAGATAAGCATTCTTGAGGAAAATAGCTGCTAATGTAGAATATTTGAAATCTAGTCCTATTAAAATGCTAGAGAAGCAGTGTTTACAGGGGCAAAATTCACAGCTGGTCCTTACAAACCACATACATATGCAAGGAGTGGGTGGGAGTGGGAGGGAGCATAGCAAGGGCCTGCCTAATTTTAGGTGCCAGCCTTATGATACAGAGCTGCCATATGTTAAAGGTGAACACAGTGGGAGGATGGAAGAGATTAACTAGAATGGGTTTTCTGGGGAAAAATTAGTGTGTCCCAGCTATGGGGTTTTATGCTCTTCTTGTGTGATTTTAAACTATCAGGATGAAACCATTAATTAGCAGATATGGTGCCTTCCTGGGAGGGCAGTTCTGCATAGAGTCTTTCACCTATTTGAACATCAAACCCAGAAATTCCTAATTCACAAAATCAGTTCAGTGGTAGAATGAATAGACACTTTGCACTGCTGGATTTTAGTGCTAGAGCATACAGCAAAAGTGAGATTTTGTTCTAGTGGTGGTCAGTCACAACACTGTAAACTCATTTAATGCCTGAACTAAGCCTGGGCAAAAGCAGCCACATGAAAACTTTAAAAGTGAATAAGATGGCCTTTCCCTCTTTACAAAACTTTTCCCATCCTAATGTCTCCCAGCTGACTGTAAGTGCTCTCACACTCAGCTGGGTGTAGGTGATGCTTTATGAGGACTCATTAGCCCCTTTGTGTTTCTGGGACAGAAATGTCTATTAGAAAATCAGTAACTTAAAAAACGCCTTCATTAATCACCTCATAGTAAAATTAATTGATGAACCTTTTTACCTTATTAGGTGGGGTCTCTTCAATGCACTGATCCTCCAAGTTCAAAAGAGAGAATAGAAAAATGGGGGAGGATCCAGGAGGGTCACCAAGGTGATGAGAGGGTTGGAGAACTTGGCACATGAAGAAATGTTGAAGGAATTGGGTTTAGTCAGCCCACTCTTCTCATAAAGATGTTGGGCACAGTCAAGAAGCAGTGAGCACAAGTTGCTTCAGGGGAAATTTTGTCTAGGTTAACAAAATATTCTTCATTGTGAGAACAACTAAACATTAGAACAGGATACCCAGCCAGTATAAAAAGGATTGAGATTCCAAATGTAAATTGGTGAGGAAATAGGCACCAGTGCTCTGCTTCTCTTGATGGGGCATGAATCTGGTGCCATGTGTGAATGACTGGTAGCACTGCTACATAAAAATACAACAGTGCTTGTCCTCTGTGTTATTTTAATGTACAAGTTATCTTAAAACATATTTGGGCCCAAATTCCACCTTTACTGCCTGGCAGGAGGGAAGTTTTATTTGCAATGAAGCTGATCCCTATCTACTGTTGGAATTTTTGTAACTGTTAATTTGATAACTGTTAATTTATTTTATTTTAGTAAGACTTGAACTTGCTTTTTTCCTAGTGCACACTGAGTTGTAACTCAGAGAGGCTTCCATGTAAAAATGACCTCAATGCCCAGCCCAGGCTCAGGTCAGTTTTAGCAGTCTAAAGGGTGGTTTCTCACACTTGCAGCTCTGCTAGTCCTGACAATCTGGTTGATTGAAAATAATTTACTGAGGCAAACATGATTTGCTGGATAAAAGTGGTGATTTCAAAAGTTTTCCTGAAGTCAAGATTATGGACAAGATTCAGCTTTCCCTGGTTGGTACAGGGAGCTGCTCAGCCCGATGTAAATGTTTTATTCATGTCAATTATTCACATAAGTGGGTTTCACTTTAGTGTGTAACACAAGCCAGCTGGTTTGCTTCTTTTAAACTCTGATTTCTCATGCACCTCATATTGCTACACCCCTTCAGAGATATTTATGGAAATTTCACAGCAAGCTGTCTCAAGCTTATGTGCTATTAAGATTCCTTTCTGGGGTGTTTACTGCATTAGATTTATAATGTATAGATTTATGGACTCAGCTACTTGATGGCCCAATAAAGCATGTTGGAACTGAAGGCAACTGCTAATTAAAATAACATTTGATTGTATATTTGTATACAGGGAAGTGGGTAGTGCTGAAATACTCTTATGCCCCTCATGGCTTTGGCTGGGCTAAAAATGAATGAAAGGATTCTAAAGTAGAATAAAAGGATTGACATTCACAGCCAAAGAGAACAAGGAGGTTACAGCATTAGCACCAGGGCTGTGAAGTATCAACTATTCTGATAATCCCCATTTAAACAATTAAGATTAAATCCTACTGGAAAGGATCAGCTGATAAGATGGCCCCTCAAGCTCAGTTCCTTCTAGAAAAAGGATATTTTTAGTGTTCACCCTGAAATCTCCACCATTTGCTATTAGAAACAAGGGACTGTGCAAGCCATGCTCCTTGCTCTAAACAGTTGACAGCTGATTTCATATACATAACACAGTGTAGTAAGAGGTATGGATTGCCAGGCATGCAAACAGCCTGGCTTACACTCCGCAGAGGCATTTGGAAACAGTGATGAAAGCAAAACAAGGAAATAGTTAAAAATAATATTAATTACCGTGCTGTGTTATTGAAATGCTCAGTTAATTCCATTTTAATGAGCTGCATTAAGAACTCTAACACCACCTCAGTGTGGTGACTGCACTCAGAAGAAGTTTTTAGCCAGTGGTCATGAAGGGTGATTTCACACCCTTCTCTGCCATTAAATGGAGAAATTTCCCTTGCCTCTCTTCCTCACAAAGACTGACAGGCAGATTTTTTAGGACAGATAACAGAAGGTAACAGCAATGGAAAACATGGGCACCGTCACCAAGAGCAAATGAAGACAGTCACTAACAGTGAGATCTACAAAAATTCCTGAAAAAGCTTTTTCATGTGAACTCCTGAGTTCCAATCTGTAGTTTCAGCAAGTGGGGATAAGCTGCAAAACATCTGAATGCTTTCTGCAAATTAGGCTTGCACCACCTAGAGTAGATGGGATTCTACTGTTGCTAATAAGCATCTGCTTGTCACATCTGCAATGGTTCAGCATCCAAGTGCAGAGCTCAGAAAGACATGTCTGCACATGTCCAGCAAATCCAGCTTTCTGCTGAGCCACTGAGACACATAACTGTGACAGACACAGGAACAAACCCAAAAAAACTCCAGGGGAATGTTTCAAGAATGTGTCATCTCTTCTGTTCTAATTCTAAATTTTATTTGCTATTATTGATAATATCATCTTCAAGCTCAGTTTCCAGTCACACAGGTACAAAGCCATAGTATTACCCAGAAAAGAGTCCAACATCCACTTTAAATTCCCAACTGTCCTGTCATGGCTCCCTGCATGAATAGAGAGCCCAAGGGAGCTTGGCTCTATTTTAATAGTTGCTCTTGTATTTATTTCCATTGCTATGAAATTAGCTTTTAATTCACTTTCATTTCCTAAGCTATTTTTCTACTTTTTTTTTTTTTTGGTATAAATCTCATGTAGTAACCTACATCTGCCTGAAAATAAAAGGCACCCTTTGATTAGAGCTGGAATGCAGGATCATATACAGTGTGTTTGGAAACCTCTGCAGAAAAAAACACGTCTGCTTTAATACATCTCGCTCGAGGCAGCACGGGGTGAGGCAAGGACAACTGAGCAGTGTGCTTGAAAAAAAAGGAAAAAAACTCTGCTTTTCTTGGCCAGTTAATGCATCAAGTTCAGTGTTATTTACGTGACTTTCAGAAGAGTTTGGGATAAAAGTAATTTATTTGCTGCCCTTCCTCTTTTTTAGTAGACTGCAGAGTTCCACCTGCAAAACTGTGTTTCTGGCACCTATAAGAACTAAACAGTGTGGAAATTTCAGCAGCTAGAATAACTTACTATTAACTAGATCATGATATATATAGAATGGAAGTGAATTATATTTTTCACAATTTCCTTCAGTCTTTTAGAGGAATAATAAAAAAAAACCTATTATATAAATTAATCTTCACTATATTCTAGAAAAAACAGCATACAGTGCAATGTGTAATAATTTTTTTGATTAATTCTAGGACTGAAAATGTGTTTACTTTGATGTACTTCTATTTCAACTCCGACCTGTTTTCCCCAGAACTACTCACTTGATAAAATATTTGATTCCATCAGCTGTATAAGCTTCTTCCCATCCATAAGGCAGACCTAAGATGAGATAAAGAAATAAGAAGTCTCTCAAAACTCAAGTGACACAGAGAATGTAGTTTTGAGATACTGTAAGTTACAATACTGTCATTTCACACAACGTCATAAAAAGTTAATAAATCAATTCTTACTTCTGTAACAAATAATAACAGATAACAATATAAACAATACAGTTTAACAAATACTTGCTGTGCCTTGATGATACATTTATTATCAGATGATACTTTTTGATAAGTATCATTTGATGATACTTCTATTACTAGAATGATGAGTCATACTTCTAGGAGGGTCCTATTCTATATTCCTTTAAAAATTAAATTGTTCTAGCAAATCTTTACCTTTTTAATAACTATTTGTTCAAAACTAACTCTTTGTAGGGTTTGAAAAGTGCAGGAGAAGGAAGCACCAGTCCCTGTGTACAAAGGCTTTTGTGCTACTGTACTGTAAAGTACATAATGGCAAGTGCAAGGTCCTGAAAAACTGTGAGATTTTTGAGACTAGAAATATATATTAAATTTAAATATACAAGAAAAATTGTTCTTGAAGTGTTTTGCCTGAAACTCATCTCAAAATGTTAGTGTCTTAGGAGTTAAACTATTTTTGTTCAAGTCCCAGTGTATCTCAAAGACCAGCTCATTAGAACCATCTGTGAGCCTGCTTTTGGTTTAAAACTTTTATTTGGAAAATGTGCTGGACTGCACGCACCATCTGAGCTTTGAAAGCTGCCTCCTCCCAAGGACTGCCCTAAGTGCACATGTTTATTTTTCTAAATGTCTTTTTTAAAAGGCTGATTTTCTTCTGTTGTCACACCTTTGTCCCTAGTGTGGTTCTTCTTAAAAGTCTGAGGAGGGGTAATTTCAGTTCTCCAGTATAAACAGAGTTCATTACAGCCACTGAATCAGGACTGGGCACAGTGGAGCTGGTACAAACCTCCTGGGAAGGAATTATTCCTGCAGGCACCCAGAGGGGAACAACAAGGAACCAAACCTGCAGAACTCAGGATGGAAACTTGAGAACTGGGAACTAGAACAGCACTGGGGTCAGTCAGTACAGCTTTCAAAAGAAAAAACCCATTGGGGATTGATTTTTTTTTTCCTATCAGTTTTACCCCCATTAGTCTCTTATCTCAGGCTTCTTACCATTTTCAGTTTAAAACAGATCTATACAATCTGTTCCTCAAAACAAACTACCCACTACCTTTCAAAGAGAATAATCCACAGCTGCTTCCCTTTAAACACAAAGTAGCTGCTGCATAGCAGTTCTCAGGTTCTGACTCCATTATGAAGGGAGGAAGAAAAGGATGTTTTAAGCTATAAATATGCTAGACATGCTCACTGCTTCTTCCTTCCTCTGCCATGAAAGATGGGATCTTTATTCAGTATGGATATTTTCTGATTATTTAAATGGCAATGGGATTCATCCCTCAATGGCTTCCATCTGCCCAGGCCTTTCCTTTTTCCTGCATGAAGCATTCAGGTCCAAATAAATGACAATGGATTTGCTCAATTACAAGTGAAAGCCCTGCTCTGTACTCACATGGATCCCCTACATCACCTGCTTCATTTATCAGTGCTAACTGCACTTTTTTCCACTGGTGATTTGATTAAAATTTTAGCCTTTTTTCCTCTCCTAAAGGAAGAACTATACATAGGTAGCAATAACTGATGCTCTGTATTCTTCCCTTACCCACTGAAGACTTTGCTTTTCAAATACACTGAATACATTTGTCACCTAGAAATGAAACTCTGGAAATATCTCCAGTGCTTTATTTGCCTTTTTGACTTTGTGTGCATGTGTATCCCATCCATTCTTTGTATGCTTCCACATTCCACCTACATCTATAGGTTTTTTAGTGCTTTCATTTTCCACATTTTCTACTTGCTCTCCAGTAGGTTTTTAGTGCTGTTCTCTTTATTAATTTCTTTTCATTTCAGATTTGTACTTCTATTTCTTGTATTTCCCCTGGTAGCTAGGAAGCTCTCGTGTTTTGCACCATATTTCCCCAGACATCATCTCCACTTCCTCCAAGCTCATTGTCTCCATGAATCATTCATAAGTTGATCTACTTCCTCCTGCTTTATTTTTTCACACCCTCCAGGGTCAAATTTGTTGTTTGTCCCAGGACTTGCTTTGAAAGGCTGCTAATTTCTCACCTGGAGTAAATGGGAGGTAAAGGAGCTGAAAAACAGTCAGAAAAACAGTCTGAAATATACAGGATTTAGCCTACATAAACTCCAGCAGTCTCAGTTTTCCTGCATATTTATAATTTCTAGTGTGAACTGCTACAGTCTCCTTGATGAATCTTCATAAATAATATATTTGGCTTCAGTTGTCTGCATAGCTCATCTTAAGAAATCACAGATTTACAGTATTTAAAAACTAGTTCATTTTAGCAGAAAATAGATGGCTTCTTGCTATTCAAATACCAGTGACTATTTACCTTCTGCAAGGTAAAGAAAAGGTAAAACTGCAAAAGCAATTGTGCATGCAAAAGCGAGAGCAGTCTCCTGAGAGAGAGCACTTTAGTCAAAATACACAATAACCTACCAGCATTTTGTTCTGAGTATGTGCATTTAATTAGGGCTAATGCCAAAGAAACGTCTGTAACTCTCTGTGACAAACACAACCAAGAAGCAGTTGCTGTTTGTGCCCCAGCACTGCTGCAGCCGGGCAGGGTCCCTGGGGACTGCTCCCCCTTGCCTGAGCTGCCTGCTGGGATAAGCACTGCTCTGGAGTTAGAGAAAGCTGAGAGGAAATGAAGCCCTGGGGCAAACAGAACCTTCCTGATCCCTGCTAAGTGTGGAGCTCATCGATCTTTATCACCTCCTTGACTTAACAGGACAAAAACTGCACCAGCACTGACACTGTGGGTCCCAGAAAAAAAAGAGATGAGCATCAGCCCGAATTATAAAGCTGTAGGAAGTGACAGACATGGAAGACTCGGCCTGCAGCTCCCCAGAGATAATGTGTGTGCTCTCCCTCAATAACACTGCACATGGCACGATCCCTCGTGTCTCTAAAGGAAAAAGGGGGAAATACAGGTATTAGGGGAAAAGCTTCATTTTCCTGGGCAGTTATCAAACCTAGAAACTGCAGCAATGTAGTTGGGTGATTCCTGCACCAATTATCTAGTTAAAAATTATTAAAGCAAAAGATATGTGGAGATCAGCAGATGAAAGTACTAAAGCTGATACAACAGCAGAACATTCAGTTGACTCAAAACTGCAATCCTAACATCAAAATGCTGCAGTCCATAAATGCTCTATTTTGCTTAATTTTTGACAAAATTACTCAAAGGAAATGAGAGATTTAGAACCTATAGTAAGAATCGCTAAAAAAAAAAAAAAGTACTGTGCACTAGGATTCTATCTAGATTTGCCCTATTCAGATGCTTCAAGATAAGTACGTCTTTAAGTGCTTTCTTTTGGCCTTGGGGCCAGAGTTTAAAACCCTCCTTCCATTACAGCAGGCACCAAACAGCACTGATGAACCTGGAAGGAGTGCTTAGGGACAACTGCCTCCCGGAGGTGCTAATCTCACCCTAAGTGCTCTTCCCTGAAACACAGCCTGATTTCCAGCATTGTTCACACCTTTGTTATCCACCTTTAAAAGGGTCTCTAGCTGCCATTCCCTTCCTGTTAAGAGTAACAGTCAGTATCTGGAATATTAATTCCAGAATAAGTTTAAGGGATGTAGTATCTATCTGCAATGCTAAAGCCACATTGTACACATCTTCTGTAGCACAATGAACCATTCTTTGATCAACAACAGAAACAAGGGTGTCTTTGTTGAATATTCTTTTATGACTTTTACAGTTGTACATGTCTTTTTTACATACTAGAGTACGGGCTAGCTCATACCTTTTATTTATCGCCTGATAATTTATTTGTATTTAGTATCAGAGTCTCAAAAATGATGGGCTTTTTTAAGAAACAGGAATTACCTGCTAAAAGGGTTTCTGATACAGAAGATTTGCTAAAGGACATTAAAACCAGTTTCCTCTATCACTTGATGTATATGGGTTTGAATTCTGATCTCTTTTCAATAGCCACCAATTCCAGCTCTTATCAACATTTAAACCTTCCTCCAGTGGGTTCAATAATAAAGGAAAAGGTGCTAATTAAGATCCCCAATGCCCTTGGCTCTTCTCTTCTGAGCTCCTTAAGCAATGCAAAGAGGATGGAAAGCTGAAGGTCTGATTTGTTGGTTCTAAGTTGCCTGGTTTTGGACTCCTGAATGCTACTGGAATACAGGAATATCCCAGAGATGACACCTGAAGTATCATGGTGTGAGACCAGCAAAAGAACTCCTCTGTGACTTATGTAATTTGACACAACTAAAGCAAAAATCTGCAGAGAAGTATCCACCCTTGTTTGTCCAGAGTGTTCAGAAGGGTGCAGGCACAAAATACTTTTATTTTTTTTAAGCTATCAATAATATAAGCTGTTTTTTATCAACAATATTCCTGCTTTTTTGTGAATTAAATTATAAACACTGAGGTTCAGGAAAATAGCTTTCAGAAGTGAATATGCACTTCTGGCATTTGCTTGTGTGTCACTTTAGATCATTTCAAGTGCTCTTCCCAAAACCAAATATGTTTCCTTTCATAAATAATACTCTGCTGAGGGGACATTCCATTCCTTTTTTCACATATCAAATTCCATTTTAAAGAAACTGTTTTTTTCTTTTGTTTTTGGTCACTTAATAAAACAAAGATGACTCAGTAGTCTTCCAGTAGAGACATGTGGGGAAATAGTAGCAACTGAAACTTCTGCTGATTTGGACTCTGGTTGGCAGATTGGCTTGTGTCCCTTCAGTCTGTTCCTAGAAACCAGGCTTCAGGACCAGGATCTGTCTTACTTTGAACGCTCAGGGCGTGGTGAAAGATGAACTTGTGTTTTTCCACTGCCTATTAGTTATAACATATTGACCCATCTATGTTGAAAAACTCATTATATAATAATCTTGGATTAAAACAATTACAACCGGGACATTCCATT